GAGAAATTGAATGAATGATGTCTATCGGCCTTTTATCTGTCACGGAATGAACTGTTTTATTGTACTCTATAGTTGCCTGAAGTATGAGGTTGACCGTATCACTCATGCCTCTTTCAAGTTTCAGGCAGCGTGCTATTTCCAAAAGCGTGCTGTGGAACTTCTCGACCTGCCCATTTGAGGTACTATGGAGTGGTGGTGCGTTTGATATCTCAACATTAAATCTATTCGATACAAGCGACCTGATTGACTCTGAATTTATAGACGGTTCATTGTCACAAAATATTGTCTTTGAATGAGGATAGAAGTTCATCAATTGCATTATTGCAGGTTCTGTATCGGTTATTGTTCGAGAAGCTATGGGTTGGACAATAGCAAATTTAGAAAATTTGTCAATACATGTCAAAAAGTACTTTCTGTCTGTAGGAAAAATATCAATGTGCAAAGAGTCGCCTTCGTGTGAAGGAATAGGTGTTCTTCCAAGCATTTGCTTTTGCAGATGGCGGTCGTATTTGGCTTTTTGACAAACCAAGTAGTTAGCTACGAAACTAGCAGCTAATTGTGACATTTTAGGGAAAAAGTAATACTGAAGTATTTGCTTAACGTTTTCCTCCGCTGCCCTGTGCGCTCTGTTGTGCTCCGTAGCTACTATTTCTTTTTGTTCTGCGTTATTATAAATGTCGACGACCAATTTTTTTGTGTGTCGAAAAGTTGTCGCTGGGAACTCATCTACGAGATTGTTTTGAATGAAAGCAAGTACGGGCAGTTCACAGTGTAGTGCATTTACAACATCTTGCTTGACCACATCACGAATTCTCCCTAGTAAAGTTTCCTTGTTTAATAATTGGATGATATGCCTTGACTTTCTCCCGAAAATAACAAAAGTGCGGGTTGATTCTGCTGTACCTTCTTCTATAACAATCTGGTTTCTGAAACAATTGACAGGCTTGTCGTATTTAGATATACTCTGGATACCGTTTGAACTCAGATATATTATATATCCATTGATCTGTGGCAGACATTCCAAATGGTGTTTTTAATCTACTATCGAATTTCGAATTAAGTTTAATAAAAATCGGATGACTATATTATGTAGGTATCATAGGAAAGATCTGAAAATATATATTGAATTAACGGAAAAAATTTATAACATCGTTGTTTTTCATCAGACATAATTTTTTAATAACTCTCGAATTTTGAATTAAATTTCATAAAAATCGGATAGAGAATCTTCGAAAATATAGAAACTTATTAGAAAAGTCGACAAAGCTTCGATGTCGTTTAGCCTTTATGTATTGTATTTTGTTTGACATATTTGATGACTGTAAGGGTATATCAGCTTCGGCTTGCAGAAGCTAGTTTTCTTTCCATTTTCCATTTGGTCGGTTCTTTTTTTAACGACGACTCAAGTTGGATTATTGTAGGGTGATCTAGATGGCTTTACAATGCAGTCCGCTAGAAGTTGTTTAACCTCCGCGTTCAAAAAATATGTTACTCCCATGGGGTGCGGGTACGACTTGGAGTACACCGGTTTCCCATCTGTTTCTATTGTGGCCGTAGTATTTATTTAAGCTTCGTCTAGATCAGCGAAGACTTGAAAATTCTTTTTGGCCATTTTGTCAAAAGCGGACTTATTGCAGGCTGGACACTTTCGTTACCAGTTTAGAAAAAACTAACGTTTTCTGATTTGGTGAATTGAAGTTTTTCTGTTGCATTGCTAGTTTGCAAAATATTTTTAGTGAAATCGAGTTCTGCATTTAGTCGTTTGAGTAAATCGAGCCCGAGTATCCCATCAAATCTTTTAGGAGCATTTAAGAAAAAGAAATGTGACTTTTCTTGGAAAACTGAAATTAACACTTTTTGTTATTTGTGTGGGGCCATGAATTAACTTAACACTAAATCAGCTTTCTGCATTCACGACGTCTTTAAGCATCGGAAGGGGTGCCATATAAATTTTAGAAGTTCCGGCATCGATTAACTTTTTATCTTCTGCCTACGTGTTATGACGGAAGGGATTTTACTCTAATAGATAATATGTATAATCCGCATCTAAGTCGTCTTCAATTTCCATGGCGTATTTTCTCTTCTTTAGTGTTCTTTCTCTTTCTCTGTTCTTTATCGCAGCAGCTTATTAAATTTCACGATGACAGCAGTCGCCAAAGCGATGGGTCTAGTTTGGGATCTATCCTCTGGTCAACTGTCATTAAATATTTCCCAAAAATTGTCAAGTCACCGAACGAAGTGCATTACCAATAATAGCCAAGGTCTATGATCCACTCCGGTAAAAACACCAATTGTTACAAAATCCATGATCTTCAAGCTATCTCTCAGGAATGCTAACTTGGATTGCGATAGGACATTACCAGAGCCCATTAAAATTTCCACGATTGGTAATGCGACCACACGCGTTCGTCTAGTTTCATTGATTCTGCGTTGCTAACTTATCTGTTTATGGAGCTCTGCGCCAAGTCGAGAGTATCCTCCTTAAAGGTTTTGACATTTCCAAGATTATAACTTTCTGCATTCGACTGAACTTATGTTAACCGATGTTAAGCGTCAAGGAAACTATAGATTTCGATTACACCTTTAATGACTGGTTGACGTGGATTCGGCAACCCCCGAGGAAGTTTGTCCAACAGAATCCTAAAAATTTTTAAGTTGACAAAATAAAGAGAGAGATTTTCCTTTGGGCTGACGGAACTCCCTTTCTTTTGCATAACTCGTCGAAATGACCAACATTGTTAGATCCAGTAAAGGACGGATCCTCGTTCGACGGTATTAATAGAATTGTTTGCGCTGTGTTATCTTTCAACTCTAAATTCTTCAACTCGTTTGAATCCTTTCAGCGTTCATTTACGTACCTTTATCGGTTTTTTTTTCTAATTTAAAAGGCCGTCTTCCTGTTAAGAAGTTGTACTTCTTCTGAAAACCATTGAACAGATCCATTAAGCCAAGTTATGGTATGAGTTTCTTAGCCAGGACAAGCGACGTCCACAGAAGGGCAAGAAGATTCTTCCAAGGCCAATACATGGCCTCGATAGAATACTTTGCGTGAGTGGAAGGCTTTAGAACGCAATCTTGGACTATGATAAGAAACACCCAAAATTGTTACCCGAGGAACATCCAGTCACCAAGGCAATAACCGTATATTTTCAGAGATCAAAGACGTTGCTTGCAACGACGGGCTTGGGCAATTAAAGGCTGTAAGTTGTGGCTATCATAATCAACAAATAGCTCAGATATTTTCGGGTAAACGCTGTGACTTAAGCTTATTTCATAGGTAGCTAACCTTTCGTAAAACAGGAGTGGACTATTGTGGGCCATGCAGGCAGGCTGCTGATAAGTTGGTCAGGGTTCACTTCTAGAGAGTCCCCGGTGCATCTCTTTTAGCCCTTGAAGCATTGAAAGCTCTGGTATCGGGTATTTTTTTTTAGAGGTATTTATATTACTTTAAGTTGGCATCACTTATTTTAACAGCTGTCAAGTGATTTATTTTCAGTTTGGTTTGGCAACTTATCATGAATAGACTCACGCCTGAACAACGCTTGCAAATAGTGCAATTTTATTTCGAAAGTAATGGTTCAGTGCGGAATACGTATCGCGCACTACGTCCATTTTATCGTCGACAAAATCGTCCATCAGAGCAGTTAATTCGATTAACCATGGAACGTTTTCGCACCACGTTTACTCTTATTGATAACTTGCATCCCCAGAGACGCCGTACTTGCGTACAGAAGAAGCTATTGCTACTGTAGAGCGTAGCATTGAGGAAAACCCGAATGAGTCCATCCGCCATCGAGCACAGAAATTGGATCTGTGTCCATCCACTTTATGGAAGATTTTGCGGAAGGATCTTGGCTTGCGTGCTTACAAAATCCAACTCGTGCAAGAATTGAAGCCAAACGATCATCAAGCAAGGCGTAGATTCGTCGAATGGGCCCAAAACGAGATTGTCGTTGTTCCCGATTTTCATAAGCGAATTTTGATTAGCGATGAAGCGCACTTCTGGTTGAATGGCTACGTCAACAAACAAAACTGCCACATTTGGAGTGAAGCTAATCCTCAAGTGTATGTCGAAACACCGTTACATCCAGAAAAACTGACTGTTTGGTGCGCTGTATGGGCTGGTGGAATCATTGGTCCGTACTTCTTCAAAAACGATGATGGCCAGAACGTTACAGTCAATGGTGATCGGTATACAGCTCGTGCCACAATCGATTTATTGCAAGACACGTTTGGTGACCGCCTAATTTCACGTTTTGGACCTGTAAATTGTCCTCCAAGATCTTGTGATTTAACACCGCTAGACTACTTTCTGTGGGGCTATGTAAAGTCATTGGTCTATGCGGATAAGCCACAAACGCTTGACCATTTGGAAGACAACATTCGCCGTGTTATTGCCGATATACGGCCGCAAATGTTGGGAAAAGTCATCGAAAATTGGACGTGCAGATTGGACTAAATCCGAGCCAGCCGTGGCGGTCATATGCCAGAAATCATATATAAAATGTAATGCCACAAGATTATCTTTCGAATAAAAAAAAATCATGTCAATCGAATAATCCATCGTTGTTTTATTGCAACTTAAATTTCTGTACCTCTAAAAATAAACACCCGTTATATGAATTTCTGCCATTCTTAAGTATGATTCGATTTTTCCCGTTTCTATTTTTCCAACCGCGACTTCTCTGTCATAAAGATTTTCAAAACCATTTTAAAGTGTGTTCTTCAAGTTTTCAAGGCAAAACTGAAGAGAAATAAATTTAATTTTTTTTTAAAGATTTGTTTTGATTGCTTTATAGTCATAGTCATAGTCATATAGTCATAGTCTCTCTCACTTTGGTGAACCATTGTGAAAAAATACAAACTTGTATTTATTAGATTGTAAAAGAGTGCTGTTATGCGCAACTTTAAAGGTAAGATAATATTGCCTGCGTCGTTTTGATTTAATCGATCTTAATTTTTTTAATTGGTTCATACCTTATTTTTATTTCGTTGACCAGTGCACTAACCTAAGAATACCAGATCGATATTATCAGAAAATAGGAATGAAAAGCATTGCCAATCTCAGATTTCGAAAGTCTGATGAACTAAAGGTATTATTATTGGAGGTATGGGCACAAACCACAATCTTGTTTAAACAACCATATATAAGGGTTTCACTCTTAACTTGTGGTATTCAATTTTGCCTAACAACCAGGTAAGTATTAATAGAAGAAGTTAAAAATATTTTCAGTAAAAGCTATTATTTATAAACAGCTACTACACGCTAATGGTTTGGTTCCCAGAAATATTTCAAAGGTTTACCGAATATGAGAAAGCATTTCCCGGTACACCAGCTTCCATTTGTGACGTTTCCTCTATTGTCCCGTCGAATTCGTAAGTATAATAGTAACAGTAAAGTGACACAATGGCCCTTAGTATAATTAATATACAGAATATTTTCTTTAGAGACTTGAGAACTTACATAGGTATGTGGCAAATCTAAAACGACTTATGTATATCATGTTGAGCAAAACACCTGCGCTACGGCCTACACAAATGATAAAGCCTCCTTCAGTTGTCTTTTTTGAACGGATCTTTTTCTATACCAGAATTATAGAGAAAAGGTTTGATTTTTTTTTGTTTGAATTAAATAGGTTTTTATAGTTTTTATAATTCTTTCACTGTTGGAAAGCTACATTTTTCCTGAGTGACAGAGGCTATATTTAATTAAAAAAAAAAAAAAAATGAGCATCCTACCTTAAAAAACTACGAAAACCATTTTGTAAATAATTTCATTTTTTCTGCTTATACATTGCAAACGCAGTAGGAAATCATGCCCATGGTATAATACATAAATATAAGGTTGTATCCTCTGCTGCAGAATTGTTCGGGTATTGTCTCCCTATTGCTCAGTGCGTTCGGGTTTTCGAAGTTTAAGGTTGTAATTGGACGATTTTTTCTCAAAACGTTAACCCTTGTGTGCTTATGAAAAATATTATACTTGTTGCAATTATTGCAGCAAGCACATACAAGCAGTAACACTTAATATTGTACAAAACTATTTTTTTAAGGGGAATTACGGAACAATTAATTCTTATTGTCATATAACAGTCCTTATTAAGCCCCATGCCCAGCATAAGGGTTAAAAGGGTTCCTGTTTATTTCGCACTTATAAGAAAACATCCTCTCACACGCACTCATTGTAGTGCGCAATAGGGGACGACGCTGCCGACGAGACTACCTTGTACTTTTTAAACCATGATCATGCCTAAGTCTAGAGTTGAGTAAATTTTGTACAGAAATTAAAAAGTCATGTCTGGTTTTAGGAGCGGCGAACCTAGGCCACTGCCCAGGGTCTCGCGCTAAAAATTGCCTCCGAAGTAATCAGTATATTATTCTGAAAATTATTTTAAAACCCATGTTTAGCTAATAAGCTTTTTTATTAGCTGTGGAAATTAAAAAATTAACAAAATTTTGAGTTCGATTTATGCGAGAGCAGCGATTTTATTTCGACGAAAATGAGTTATAAATGTTCCGCGAGATCGAAAAGAAGTAATACAATTGAATTGAATCAAGACGCGGATCAGCCGATTGCTGACCGAAAGTACAAACCAACAAGCAGCGAGAGAGAGCGAATAGAAAGATAAAGAGAGAGAGAAAGAGCGATGGTAATTATGCAGATAAGCTAAGAGCTAGCATTAAGAGAATCTACATATCTGCTGCGTCTGGATGACCCGACATACTCCCCCGCTGGAAGCCTGGCTTTCAACAGCATCCTTAAGGGGCAGCAGACACAGCTTATTAACTGCTCGTTTTGTCACTCCAGATGTTGTCTTGAGAACGGCAACTCGAGCAACTCCATCTCGACCACACAGAAGCTCAACGACTCTCGCTAGGGGCCACTTCATCGGAGGCAAGTTCTCATCCTTAACCAGCACCACGTCACCGACAACTAGGCCAGGCTTCGGGGTACGCCATTTGGAGCGCTGCTGCAGTAGCGTCAGGTATTCCTTCTTCCATCGGGTCCAGAAGACCTGCTGCAAGTAGGCCACACGTTGCCATACATCCAACCGATTGAAGTTAAGGGCGGTCACATCCGGCTCGATGAATGAGGATGGTGGGCCACCATTCAGAAAGTGGGCTGGCGTAAGCACATCCAGATCAGCGGGATTTTCTGAAATTGAGACTAAAGGCCGGGAGTTAACTACTGCCGAGATATGGCACAGAAGAGTCCGCAGCTCTTCGAAGGCCAACACTGAAGGCCCAATAGCGCGGTAGAAATGGTGCTTCGCCGTCTTCACCGCAGCTTCCCAGAGACCACCAAAATGTGGCGATCTGGAAGGAATAAAACGCCAATCAATAAGCTCCGTTAGGCAAAAATCCAACGTCGCTTTCTGATGCTCGTCGCTGAGGAACAGGCGTCTCAACTCAATCAGCTCATTGCGTGCACCCACAAAGTTCGTTGCATTGTCCTACCAAATCTGCCGCGGTTTTCTTCTGGTGCATATAAATCTTTTTAGGCCATGCAGAAATGATACCGTTGAGAGATCCCTGATCAACTCCAAGTGAATGGCCTTTGTTTCGAAGCAGATAAAGACGCAAACGTAGCATTTTACTGGGGCCTTGTTTCGCACTTCCGGCTTGTAAATGAATGGTCCATAAAAGTCAATGCCAATGACTTCAAATGCATGAGATCCATCCAATCGCTCCTTTGGGAGATCCGCCATTACATGCTACATAATCGAGGCTTCGTTCGAAAGCATCTGACGCATTTGTTCAAAACCTTGCTCACCGTCTTCCTCCCCCCAATAGCCCAATACTGGGATCGAACTATGCAGAGTAAGGCTCGAGGTCCAGTGTGCAGATTGCGCTCATGAAAGTGAGTAACGATGGCGGCAGTGATAGGATGGCTCCGTGGCAATATGATTGGATGACGGGCATTGAAATCCAGCGACGAGTTCAATAAAGGGAGATATAGATGCTAGCGAACTAGATTGGGCTACTACTCCTTTAGACTGCAAGGATTTAATGTCTTCCCATAAATGAGAACGCTGAACCAGACGAAGCAACAGCTGAGTACCGCTTTGGATATCCGACACCTTAAGATCCGCCTGCCGAATGCGATTGATAAATTTGAAGACGTATCCGAAAATCCTTTGAAGCGAAGCGAAGGAATTTGCAAATTTGGAACAGGCTATGATGTCTACGTATGGCAATTTAATTAGCAGGACCTTTCGACGAAGCTCAGGTGTTGACTTCTCAGCAAGGATTGGGGGAGGCCAGTCAATCTTGGGTCTGCAAAGAAATGTCGGCCCGTTAAACCATATAGGGGACTCCCTCAGCTCAGTGGGAAGGACACCTCGGGAGAGAATGTCAGCCGGATTCAAAGAAGTTGGAACGTAACGCCACTCCATCGAATCGGTTCACTCTTGGATGGCAGCAACTCGGTTTGCCACAAACATGTTGAATCTGGAGGGCTCGTCTCGGATCCAGGACAGCGCAACCGCAGAGTCACTCCAACAATAATACTGTCCCTTAAATACGTTGGTGCCAGCTACTTCTGAGATGAGCTTAGACAAGAAATCGGCTCCACAAAGCTCCAGCTTGGGCACGGTGAGTGTCTTCAAGGGAGCAAACCTTGACTTTGAACAAAGCAACTGCGACTGTCCACTGCACACGATGTAGACACAGGCGCCGTATGCTCCATGCTCGCATCGCAAAATCCATGGACCTGAATCTCTGAGTTTGGAGACAGAACTAGCCGAGGGAAACACAATCGCTTGATTTGCACAAAACTCCTGCAACTCCATTCCGTATTCTGAGCTTCAGGAAGGCTTTCATCCCAGGATAACCTTTCCTTGCACAATTGCTGAAGGAAATTTTTCGCTTTTGCTATCACCGGACCAACCAATCCAAGAGGATCATAAAATCGTGCAATGGCAGACAGGACAGATCACCTACAGGGACTTGAGGTCAACTGCAAGACAGAAAAAGAGAACAAGAGCTGATCAGAAGCAGGATCCCAGGCTAAACCCATAGTTTTGGTAAAGTCAGTGCCGTCATCAAACTTTAAATATGACTCCTTATCTTCGTCAGACACTCCACACAAAGCCGCTGGCACGTTTGAGCACCACTTTCTAAGTTTAAAGCCTCCTCGGGACAGAATTTTAGAGGTCTGATCTACAATGATGATAGCCTCGTCCACGGTCTGGGCTCCAGATATCAGATCATCTACGTAAAAGTCGCGCTGAATTACCTCAGCCCCAAGCGGAAACGAAGAATGCTCGTCTCTTGACAGCTGATGCATAGCCCGCACAACCAGAAATGATGCAGGCTTCGTGCCATAAGTGACGGTGTCCAGCTTGAATACTTGCAGCTTGTCCTGTAGGGAAGTCCTCCATAAAATGCATTGCAAATAGCTGTCCTCTGGATGTACCTTGACACAACGGTACATCTTACAAATGTCTCCAGTGATGGCTACCGGGTATGAGCGAAATCGAATTAAAATCTGGAACAGGGTATGTTGAATTACGGGGCCTGCCATGAGCAAATCATTGAGAGAGTAGCCTGATGAAGTAGCGGCAGATCCGTCAAAAACTACGCGAAGATTTGTAGTGGAACTGTCCTCCTTTGTGACGCAATGATGAGGCAAAAAGAAGCGACAAGAAGCGAGGTCTGCGCCAGCAACTGTTGACATGTGCCCCAAGTCAAAGCATTCCTTTATAAAAGCCGCATATTGGGCCTTCAAGGCTGGCCGACGATCTAGCTTCCTCTCTAGGGACAGGAATCTACGATAAGCTTGCTGGTAGGACTCACCCAATAATTCCAGGTTGAGCTTGGCAGGCAAATGAACAGAATATTCTCCAGCAGGGGAACGAATGAAATGCTTTTTAAAGTGCGTCTCACAGTCCAGTTCTTCCTTAGTAGCATGCGCAATTGGCTCCACGCAGCTTACCACCTCCCAAAATCGACGAAGAAGATCATCAAGTCGATCTAAGCTATTATCCCTACTAACAATAGGTAAAGGAATGGTCGAGATTAACGATGAGCCATTGGAGACGCCATATCCTCCGGAAACAACCCATCCCAGGCGAGTTTTTTGTATAAGCGGTAATCCAGGTGGGAGCTTAATTTGCCCAACGCACAACAGCTTTTGCGGTATTTTCCACCTGCCGATGTCCACATTGAAACTAAGCTGTCGCTCAGTTATATTGGGAGCAATAACTGCGGTTATGTTCACCGTGTATTCAGAGGTTCGAGACTGCATCGTAATATTGACTGAGAGACCATTGGTAACAAAGCTGGAATCACCTATTCCAGTCACAGAAGCCGAAGTCTTTATCTACTTTATTTGAAGCTGATCTGCGAAGCGAGATGTTATTAGATGCAGCTGA